GGCCCCACACGGGCGCGCGCGGGACTCTGGCCCCACACGGGCGCGCGCGGGACTCTGGCCCCACACGGGCGCACTCGGCCCGGGCCGGCCCGGGGGGCGCGGGCAGGAAAGGGCGCTGAGCTGGGCCGTGCTCAACGGGGAGCCGCTGTGCAGCAGGCCGGTCGTCACAGAATCACCTAGGTTGGGAAAGACCTCCGAGAGTATCGCGTCCAACCTAGGAGCGATCACTACCGTGTAACTAGACCAGGGCACTGAGTGCTATGTCCAGGCTTTCCTTAAACACCTCCGAGGACGGTGACTCCACCACCTTCCCGGGAGACCATTTCAGTGCCCGGTCGCTCTTTCTGTTAAGAAACTCCACCCTGCACCTCCCCAGGCGCAGTTTGACGTCGTTTTCCTTTATCCTGCAGCAGGTTGCCGGGGAGAGGCGGCCGGCCCCCACAGGGATACAGCCCCGGTCAGGGAATTGTAGAGGGCAAGGTCGCCCCTGAGCCTCCCTCTTTTCTCCCTAAGCACCCCCAGCTCCCGTAGCTGCTCTCACAGGACTTCTGCTCCAGACCCTTCACCAGCTTCATTGCCTTGCGTTGGACACACTCCAGCATCTCCATGAATTGAGGGGCCCAGAACTGGACACAGGACTCGATGTGTGGCCTCACCACTGCAGGGGAAGAATCTCTTCCCTGGTCCTGCTGGTCACACTATTAATGATAAGGCACACTCGAGAGAGACACTGAGTATTTTTGTCAGAGTTGCACTCGGTCCTCGGCAGTGTTCCACAAATCAAGCACAGCAACTACCTTTTTACTTTGTATTATAGTAAACAGAGGCGTTAATGGTAATTGGCTAGAAGTTACCTAGTTCTCTTATTTTTAGTGCTCTATTTGTCAATGATTTTCTTGTTTCCCATACTAATTACTCCACATGCTGAGTTTTCTCCTCTCTAGGCTCTGTGGGTTTCTTGAGTTGATGGTCTGAGTCCTCTCCCAGGATTGCCTTTAACCCAGTCAGAGCTGATTCAGCACAATTGCCAAATCGTCTTCCTTATCTTGGGAGTTCCATCAGATATCTTTGTGGACTTTTAATTCTGCATTGTGTTCATTATCATTGGTACATCCTTCTTTCTACATACTATACTTTTATTAACCTCCCACTAGGTCTGAGACCACTGAATCATGTCAAGCCCTAAATCTTAACAATGTTTAACAAGGCAATTCTACCAACAAGAAATTCGTCTTTCTAACCCGTGGACACCACTGAGACCTTGCTTGTTAGCTGCTGTCTGCTTCACAAATGAACTCTCTTTTTTATTAGACTGGAACATATAGAAAGATCAAACAGCATTCTTTCTTAAGAAAATTTTTTACATATTTCACATTTTGCAACAGATACAACAGTGGTTTTGTTGTATCTGTTGCAAAAACTAAATTGCTGTGTCTCCTCTCTAACAAGTGATTCATGTCTCTTATCAAGGGATACCCTTCTCTCCTGCCATCTTCCAAAAACATCTGAAATGTTTAATCATTACATAAAATGGGGCTTTTACTAAACAAAGTCAGCATCCTGAACAGGGGACTGTGACAATGCTGTTTCTGTTGGTGAATTTAGTGTTCCTGGGAAGTCAGCAGCCCCTCATCTGCCGTAGGACATGGCACAGCCTTGCCCTGCCCAGAGCTCATGGGCCTGAGGTATTCCTCAATCACTCCATGCCTGCTGTGGACCCCAGGCAGGTGCCAGCTGGCATGCTGTTAGTGACCTAAAGCATCCTGCTGTGACAAGTCTAACAGCGTGATTTCATGGCTGGAGTTCATGCAATGAGCTGGCTGAGATTAAACATGCTGAGGCCTGGCTATAAAGGATCATTTGTTGGTAATGTTTGATCATTAGCGACCTCCACCATTTAGATCATTGCTCATTGAGAGTCCCACATGCGGTTTTGAAGATATGTTTGCTATAAAAATATCTGTGGTCATGCACTGAGTGAAAACTATTAAAATGTGCTTTGCTTATAAACTGGGGGAAGATCTATTCATAGGAGATATTTTAGAAAGAAAAATACCCATATAAAATGTGTGATATGATTTCCTTACCCACCCGTGTAACGCCTTCTACTTAGATTTTAGAATTTGAGTTTGGTGGTGGGAAAAGGGAGCCTTGAGTTGTCTTGGATTTATCCCCTTTTGAACAGACATCCTATACAGGATAACCACTGCTCAGTACCAGGAGCTCCCTTGGGAGCCCAGCACATCCGTTTACTTGTGAGAGCAGGGCTATGAACCTTGAGTCTTTGCTGCACCAGTTCTTACCTCTGCCTGTTACCCTGAAGGCTGGTTTTCTTCTTGGGGAAATGTCAAGTTCACAAATTCTGTGCTGCTCTCCTGTCGAGAGAACCAGCTGGGTGCTCCATACATAATACTCTGAGTGGATGTTCTGACTCTGTGTTAAGAATGTTAACTGGAGAGGATATGTTATTTGCTCAGTAAGTAGGACATTTATGGAAATATTTTGTAAATGTTACAGGAAGAATTGTGAAATCCCTGTAGCTTGCAAGACTAGGCAGTATTAATGAAATGGAAGATGTGCTGCATAATTTGTGGTTGAAAGGAATTTGCTGATCAGGATTCTATTTATTCCTGAGAAAAATAAACTAAAAGTAGTTTGATTACAAGTCTGTCTGTAATGTAGCAGAAGACCTTGGAGGTGTGGTACACATATTCTTTTAGAGTAGAATGATATGACTCATAGATAGGTTTGTGTGGTAACAGCCCTGACCTCTTGAAATCATGGGATCTAGCTCATATTATAATGATTCTGGGTATATTTGTCTGCAGGTTCCTTCAGTTCAGTTCTTCCAGCATTTGCCAGAAGAAATAGGTGTGCCTGGTAAGCTCACTCACTAAAGTTGTGTTGTATTTTGCTCTTCTGCCTTTTTTTCCAGTGTGAATGCATGCTGCAGTACCACATGAGCACAGGTTTTGGGGCATAGCATGCCTTGAGATAACACCATTGTATAACTAGTTCTTGCTTCATTGTTGCTCGTGAATCAAGTTCTTGAAAAATCATTCAATATTGACTGAAAGCCAGAGAAACAAAAGGTTTGTGCGCTGGAGCTCCGAGGAAGCTGTGAAAAAGGTACAGATTTATCCTCCTTTTCACTTAATCAATTTAAGTCTTGATGCTTAAAAGTAAGCTGTGAAACTTTGCTGCTGCAAGCTGTTGGAACAAAACCTAGGTGTGATCTCTCTCTTGTTTTAGCTCACAAAATTGAAGATGGGGAATTGTTTACCTTGCAAGAGAGATGCATGGGAGGATGACATGAATAAAATTACAGTTACAAATGGAAGTTCTGCTGTTTGTGTACCACAGGAGCATGAGAACATTCCATGGCAAAAAAAAAGCCAACAAAACAACATCATAGCATAAAGTCTTTCCTTTAAAGGAAGAAACTTGGTTTTGTCTTAGACTTTTGGTTCTTCACTTGCTTTAGTCTCTAGACTTTTGCCAAGACTGCTTTGCTTATCAGGCTTGCTGACACAGTGGATAATCAGTCTGTAAAACTTGCTGCCATAGGAAGTTCTTGGGGCAAAATGAGGCCACTCGCCCTAGAAGGGTTCAAAGAAAGATAGGACATTTTGGAAAACCATAAAACTTTGTACAGTTAACATAAACAAAATGTCCTGGAAGGAAAAGACTTCCTGCTTTGTACTTTAACCTGAGGTCTCACTTTTAGACACCGAGACAAACAATTTATAGAGACTGGCAGTCGGACATCTGGTCTGTTAGGGACGAGCATGGTATTGGAGGCAGCTAAGGAAAATAGGATCCTGTAGTTTATTCCAATTTTTTACAGACTTTTAAGGTTACTGTTTTTTTACGTGCAATTCCTTATCATAGCTTGTTCCTGGAATAGCACTAAAATTATATTTCAAGATGGGTAGATCTCTGGGAGAGAATGAAGGAAGCAGAGTACCTTGAACTTATTCTGCTTTTTTTGTTGTTATTATTGTTGTGATTATTGTATTTATTTTCTATTTGAGGATAAAATAAATAAAGAAACAAGACCATAATCAGTTGCTTAATGAACAAAACCTTCATATGCTGATCATTATTTCAGCACAGATGTCTGTAACTCAAATTCTGTCAATCTGCCCATGCAACTCTGTTCTTGAATTGCTGAGAACAACTGTGTGGGTGGATGTAGAACATAAAATTGCCATGTGCACTTATGTTTTGTTTATGCAGTACTCATTTTTAAGAGTACTAGATTGGATTTGCTTAATATTTGCTTTGTGTGTGTGTATACATAATATTTACAAACCCCCAAACTAGGAGATGATGACCAAGATAAACTCTATTAATGCAAGATGCTGATATTGTGAACATGTTTCATTTGATTTATCAACTGAAAGAAATAAATTAAATCTATACACAGACTAAGGTGGTAGTTACCTCTAAAACTTGTACCTCAATTTATTGCTGCTTTATCACCCATATGTACTCCATACAGCAGAGATGACTTAGAAATAGGCTTCTACTGACAACTAAGAGATTACTCTTTCATAGATCTGTCATTACTGAAAATTAATAAAAATTGTAGAGTATTTTAAAATAGTAATGGACCTAAAATATTAACTGAAATTTAACCCAAGTTTTTACTTTCTCATAACAGAATTCTTGTTTTTTTTTTTTAAAGAAGATGGGATTAGGGAGGCAGCCATTTATATCTTCTCTATAAATCTAGAAATAATTCTGTATTTCACTTCAGTTTCCTGGGCACTTTCTTTTGAGATAAGGTTTCTACATGTGAAATACTTCATAGCAATAGTTACTAGCAATTTTGGCAATAATGACATTGTGTTCACTGTTGTATGATGGGGGGTCAGGGGTAATTTTTAAGGTGTCGAATCTTATCTGGGGGTATCTACCTCTTGTTACATACATATAGTATTTTTTTCAGATTCCCATGCAGAACTTGTCTGAGAAAGTAAAATAAGAAATTGAAAACTTTATGATGTCATTATAATAAAGCCTAAAGAATGAATTACACTTCTGGGGCAGTAAGTTATGTTTTTATAGACTGTTTCTTTGCTGTTGTGTATGTGTTGTGTTGTGAATAAAAGCAGAAGGGAAATTGTGAAAACAATGCCTTATTCCAGGTGAGCAATACTCTTTTATTCTATATTCTTTTATCCTCCAGTTTCTAGATGTGAAAAGCATTAGAAGAACCCACAGTAAATAATGCTTTCACTGCTTTTCAGCTTTGTTGTCATTGCTTTTTTCCCTCCTTGATATTCAGAATTGCAGAAGTGATTTTTTCATATGATTGAGACATCAATGTTGGCTGCCAGTAAAATAATAATCCCCTAAAAGCCCTGTTCATTCTACTTTTGAGAAAGTAATTTCAAAATCTCCAAGCCTTATCTCTATGGCTTATAAAACTTCCCAGTTTTGAAATGCTGCACTGAAAAGTTGGATATTTTGCCTCTGGCTTCTGACTTTGACACGGATAACCAGAGTTCAAAGTTTCTGTGTACATGCTTTCTAAGCTTCCTCTGCAACACATTTCCTTCTTTTATAACCAGAAGTGAAATCTCATGATTGCAGTACCTTATTATTCCTGAACTTTAAACACTGTATATGTAGGGAAATGGCTTCCCAAATAAAATGAGTGGCATGTCTGGACATTGAGAGGTAAAATGCGTCTCCAAGGTTTTCTGGTTTCACAGTGCTACCAAAGTCTTCTTTCACCTCTTCCCTTTCCCACCCTGGGCTGTAAGCATTTCTCTCTCAAATAATCTACACTCCACAGCAAAAGTTTCTTTTTCTCAGGTATGTTACTGGAGGAAGATGCATTGTCCTTCTATTTAATTTCTTCTTTTCAGCATTTTCATGTGCAAATTCACAGATTGGAGTTCAGAGACAACCATATCCTCAGTGCGGTATTATTACAAACTTTCCTGAATAAGAAAAGATTATGCTATAGACAAAAACCCCAGACAACTGAAAACCCCCCTTGCAGTTGTGTTAGGGGAAATGGTCTGTACAGATGTGTCATTTGAAAAGATCAATAGTAAGGTGTTGTGATGGACTAGAGAAAGATGCCATGCAGTGTTTCTCAGTATTAAAAACTAAATTATAATTGCATTGGAGCTGCACAGGACAATTTATGCCAGGGGGCTTGACTTGAATACCTAAGTCTTTTGCTTTCTTGGCCCACTTATGACTTATCAGTCAAACTTAATTTTAGTTGTTATCAGACACATTTCAGAACATTCTATACAGCTATATTTGGACTTATTCTGCCCTTTTCCAACAATAACACTGCTCTATATTTACTCTAGCAATTCCGTGGAGAAGGCAACAATCAATGAGCATGTAGGATTGCCAATACCAGCTGCTCAAAAATAATGAGTTTGGGTTTAAAAACTTGTCAGTTTATTAATATTTTAGTACATGTCACATTTTACCACTTCTCTGTCACCTTCTTCTTCTTCTTCACCATTTCACGCCTCAGGATATAATGAACACTCATAGATGAAAGTCACCTTTCACGTGATAAGCTTTAGTAACAGTTTTCATAAGTAAGAAATGTCAAAAGTTGGAAACTTCTGTGTTCTGAAGATATAAATTGTTGGAGCTTCACCTTCAAATTAGGGCAGAGTGATCTCTGGGTATGTGCTGAGGCGATACTCTGATAGAATGCAATGAATTCATGCTGTTCAGGAAGAAGCAAGAATAACAGAAGTTTTTTCCACCAGAGGATCACTGTTTGCTATTAATTCACCAGCTGGTGCCTTCAACTAGCAGTACTTTACACCTAAGCATCCTTGTGAGAGCATTAGACACATCTTGCAAAGTCTTTTGGTTGTGGTTTAGCTAAGGATGTGTCTGAGATGCAGAGCCAAAGAGTCATCTCCTGGGTTGCCCTGGACACAGTTTTCCATGGGAAGGAAACTCTTACAGCCTTTGGCTGAGTCTCTAGACTGAGTGAATAGGAGATGAGGATCTTACAGTGTGTCTGCCATGGCCACTCAGACAAGATACAGTCTAAGAAAAGTCTGGACCTGCAACTCTGGTGAAATGTCTGCAGTTCTATGGATCTATAAATGTAAAACAAAAGCTGTCCAGTGTGTTAGAGAGGAGAAATTGAAATATAAGGAGCAAAAAGAGAAATCTTCTGCAGATGTATTCATCTGAAAAGCTTTAATCAGAAATATGCTTTTGGAGTGAACCTCCAAGTCATACCTGTGCTTTGGTTTGTATCCCTGAGCAGGCTTGGAGCGTACAAATGGGATAGCATTTTAGATGAATCTGGGCTTCATGGCTGACTGTGAGATGCACTTAAGTAACACAATGTTCTCCAGATGGTGTGGGTCTCAGATTCTCTGCATTATTTCTTTTATTCTGCACATCACTCCTCTTCTGTCCGCTCCTTCCAACTGTAAATACAGCCTGGTAAATTGTGGAAGATGGGATGCGAGGATGGATTTTTTAGATCCTAATACCTGCTTCAAATCCCATTCACAGCTGCTACCTATAAGCTCTTCTTCCAAGTACTGCTGTGGGATAAAGCCATTCAGAGCTGGCTGAGGTATCACTATACTCAGGCAAAAGGTCCATCTGGGCCCAGATTGCTTGTCAGCAGGCTGGATTCTAAGGTGTTTCTATTTGACTATTCACCAAAAAAAAAGATAAAAAAAAATACATACTTAGGTTTAGTAATACCAGTGCCAGTTGTCTGGTTACTTGAGAAATCTTTCTTATAGAAAACATTTTTTATGAATCATTTATCACATCAGATATAACATAAAAATAGATTTCTGCCATGAGATCACTGTCTCCTGCATTGAAAATAATGCATGGTTTTGACAACATTTATTTTTGAGGATTGTATTCTACCAGCAGCAGGAACCATTACCCCATGATATCTTTCAGCTAACAGTCTCCTAATTAGCTTTCCTGCAGCATCCTGTAGTCTCACCGACATTCTATAAGCATGTTCCATTTATGGATTAGTCTCTTCAGATGGCAGTGTAACTCCTGTTTCAGGAAGTCTTGAAGGTGTTTTGATGTGTTTCCCCTTTGCCTTGCCACATGATCAATGATGGCTTTCCTTTTTAGATACTCTGTCTGCTGTTATATACCTGTTGTATACCTGTCTGTGCTTTCTTACTGCCATCAGCAGAGGGATACAGTAAAACTGGGAGTACAAGCAGATGAAAAAACTATCTACCTCCTTATCACATCATTTCCCTGCATAGGAGAAAGAAGTTCAGGAGATTCAGTTACAGTGTGGGAGAACACTGGTAAAGTCCCGTGTGAGGGGAAGAGGGAAGCTCAGTAACAGCTCTGCTGGGAAGAGGACTGAAGTGTGCTGGAGTGAGTGGAGTAACAGCAGGGAAAGCTAAAGGAACTGTTCCTGAGCCAACTCCTTGCACACATTAAAGGGTTGCAGAAATAGGGAGCCCTCCAAGTAAATGCTGCTAGCAACATCTGCCTCTGCATTGTGCAAGAACTTTTCTTTGGCAGAACACACACAGCCTTACAGAGCCTATAGATAGATTGGGGTTCTTCATACTGTGCTTTGCATGTCTATTTATAGATTCCTCCCAGGGATGACATGACCTGTGTGAGTGCAGGTCTCTGTAGGTGGATAGAAGTACTTGCTGACCACACAACAGCTGAGTGAAAAATTTGTTGTAAATGTGTCTTTTGACAATATCCTCCTTCCTAAAGATTTTTCTCAGTAAATTTTGCTGAACCATATCTGGCTCCCTTGTCTTGCGTAGGATCTGTGAATGGCAATTGCTCACAGAGAGTTTCATTTGGCTCAATATGTAGCAGCCTAGGCTTTTAAAATGGGAAAATCTGAGTTCTGTTTTCACAGAGAATATCGGAGCTTGCAGTACCATTGGTGGGGCAGACATGTTCTTTTTAGAGTGCTGTATCCTATTCTACAGCCCAAGGGAACTGAAAAGGAGCGGTGAGGAGGTGTAGAAATAGAGATTTGGCACCATGATTTTACATGCTTTTTGCTTTACATACTCTTGATTGTTTCCCCTTCTGACAGTTCTCTTTTGCAGATTTTGCAGTGTGGATCTGATGTGATTATGCTTTCCTGAAGGATTCCCCATCTCCTTTAGGCTACAGTGTTTGTTGCTCACTGTTCAAAGGCAGAAGGGAAATGCTTCTATGCATACTTAGAATTGCTGGAGGCACCACTTTGACTCCATTAAATTGCTTGTCCTAGATCCAGTTGCCAACCAAAGAGACGGTGTCAGAGTATTATAATTTGAACCTACAAACTCAATCTTCTTAGCACTCACTAAACGCTTGCCTTGTAACGCAGAGATTACACTAACATAATAGGAACCCAATTACTACAAATTCTCTCTTTGCTTTCACAGGTTATTGAATTAATAGAACCATGTTAGGAGAGCTTCAGGGAGAAATGAACTGAGATGAGCTCAACTGTTTGGAGCATGGTGCTAATAACCAAGATTGTGGGTTTGATCTCTGTTGTGGGCCATTCACTTAGGAGTTGGACTTTATGATCCGTGTGAGTCCCTTCCAACTTTATATTCTGTGATTCAGTGATAAGTAATGAAATCTACATGCTGCCTTACAGGAAAGTTTCATGGGTAGAGACAAGGGAAACAGTCTCCAAATACTATTAAAAGCACTTTATTTAATATCCCATATGCTTTCAGTGTAATCTAAGAGCTTTGATTCACACATAAACCAGTTTGAACTTTAGGAAAATACCTATGTGTGCTGCCTTTTGCTCCTTTTTGGATGACTGCATTCTTAAAGTTTAAAAAACTTTCTTAAAGCTGGTTTAAAAAAAAAAAAAAAGAAACCATAAAATATAATTTGCACATTTCATATATAAAGAAGAAACAAAAGACCTAGCAGAGAGTTTATGGATTAAAAATGGCTACTGGTAAGTGCAGATTTCTACAATGGACTTAATTATTCTTCTGAACTGTAACATTCAAGCTAAAAATCTTTTGATTCAGGAGAACTGTATCTCATTTGAGCAGAGAAAA